ACATAATGAAAGTGATAAGACACAGTGAACATTCAGCCTTCTATAAATATGTGTATTGAGTTACTACCTGCAAAGCAGAACATGTTAGCATTAGCATAGAAGCCAATTTCTTAAGGTCTCTGCCAACAACAGTCAGAACTACACAGAACTATATTTGCCCTTTGTCCTTTAAGTACAGCTGGTGATAATAATCCTCCTCATTTTCTGAAACTGAGAGGAAAGTTGTAATTTTTTTTCATCAGCCAAATATTCAAATGCATTATTATGGTTTTAACTCATGTCAGATGCAGCTTTAGTTCAAAGATCATCCTTCTAACCATCAGCTACAGACAGTCCTCTCTTTACTGAAGAGTTTCATTCCAACTATTTGTCTCATTTTTCTTTTCTCTGTGCATAAGGGCATGCAGGCTCCAATGTTCTCGTCATGCCATATGGTTTCAGCAGAATGCTGGCAACTAGTGAAGTTGATATATCTTACTAGTTGTCTGAAGAAAACAAGCAGCAAGTCAGGTTGGAGCCACTGCTCACAGATATTAAATGTAACACTATGAGTAGCATCCTGATTTCTCTAAAACCGTTTAAAACCAGTTTAAGTTGCCTGACATTATAGTTCCTCTTTCTGTGATTAATACTTTTTATTCTCTGAGGGTTTTCAAAAGGTTTTCCCCCATTTTTATTGTTTTAAACATATCTGTGTATATGGAGTAGCCCTACAAAGCTCAGATAACAGAATAAATACAGTGGTAGGATTGAGGTTTGTTTGAGAACAGTTGATATGTTTCAAAGCAAGTTTCTTTTATTACATTATTACATGAGCCATGTGCTATGGAATACTCAATAAAAGTCAATAAAGCCCTTAGCATAATTGTGGTGCTGTTGTTTAAAACAACTGTTTTCCTAATTCAGTTTCAAAGCAGAGGAAACAGCTGTAGTCTATAAATATATATGTGTTGATCTCTTTGAGCTTCCTTATGTATTAAGTAATGGGCAGCAAATGTAGTTGTGAATTACAAGAATTTCTACTTTTAGTGAGGACATCAGAAGAGTATCCGGACACCTTTTTGTCCAACATCAATTTTTCATTTACCGCCAATGAAAGATGGACCTTTGACCATATCTAGGCTGACAATCAAACTACCCAGTAAGATTAAGAAAAAGTTGAATTGCATTAATAAACCACTGCTTCATGGGTAATTTGCAGCCAAATTATCTGTTTTTACACCCCTTCCACCCAACCCCATCAAAGTGGACTGGCCAGTTTTGCTTGAATATCTCCTAAATCTGCCGGAGCAACAGTTTCTACACATGCTGGTCCACATATGCACAAAACTCCATGGCCCAAGTTCTGTAAAATGTGGTGGTCATCATTTTGGAGCAGGTCCAATGGGTGGCAACAGAGGTAATTGGAGAAAGCTGGGCCTGTTCAGCCTTGGGAAGAGACAACTGAGAGGGGACCTCATCAATGTCTGTCAGTGCCTGCAGGGAGGTGTCAGAGGATGGACCAGGCTCTGCTCAGTGGTGCTCAGCAATAGGACAAGAGGCAATGGACAGAAACTGATGCCCAGGAAGTTCCACCTGAAAATGAGGAAGAACTTCTTTACTGTGTGGGTGATTGAGCACTGGAACAGCTTGTCCAGAGAGTTTGTGGAGTCTCCTTTACAGGAGATATTCAAGAACCATCTTGATGTTCCCCCTCCCAACCCCCCGCTCAGCCCCCTAAATTATCAGGCTAGCCCAGAGATCCGAGCCTTTGAGGGGAGGAATATCAGGAGATGGCAAAGATTTCCAAAAGAGGCTCTTAGCCCAATATATGATGTTGCAGCTCTCTTTATTCTGTGAGTCCAAGGGGAGAGCGGGGCAAAAGAGGACTAACAGGAAATGTCAGGGGTTTATATAGACTTTGGACAGGGTGGGCTTCTTGGCTCTCTGCCAGCCCTGTCAGGGCAGGAAGGAGGGGTCCAGGGTTATCTTGATCAGATCACAGGGTCCCGGGGAAGGGGGAACAGAATGCCCATGAGCACAATGTAACAGAATCTGAATACAATCCTTTGCCATGTGCTATGGGATGACCCTGCCTAAGCAGGGAAGTTTGACCAGATGACCCACTGTGGTCCCTTCCAGCCTTATCCATTCTGTTATTCTATGATTATTATATTAGCAGAACTTTTAGAACTTTCACTTGAGAAGTATCTGAAGTGTGAGACTGAAACATCTTGTACAACAGCCAATAATAAAATGTGAATTGCATGAGTAATTTGGCAGCAGCAGTTCTACGTTTTCTGATTGGATTACTAAATCACCTAAGACTGCAATCAAATGTTCAGTATTTACAGCAAGCAGCAAAAAGTAATTCAGTTTGAAGTACTGAAGGAGGTTCAGAGGGTATCAGGAATGATTAGTTAGCCTTAAATGGTCTAAGAGAATGAGCTCTTAAATGAGTTTTAAAGAAAAAAATAACAAAAAGTAAAAAATCCCAAAGAAATTAATGTACTCCAGCAACAATATAATGCAGGAATAATAGGATGCTGATGATGCTTTTATACCTGTGTAAGAAGGATACTGTTGATTGTAAAATGTTGCAGATAAAGCAAAGAGATAAGGAAATATTCAGTACTTATTCACAGAAATGAGTAATGGCTGGATTAGTGAACATTAATAGTCCAGCTGCTGAACAATTATAATCCATTATAACATTAATTTCAGCTTTTAGTAGTGAAAAAACAGGAGTTTTCATAGCAATGACTCCATTGCTTGCTCAGCCACTCACAGGTATTTCATGGAATGAAAATGAAATGTTATAACTATATAATGAGACACCAAATAATAATTTTGTTAATATGTGTTTTTTGTTGTATTTTGTCAACCTTTCATTTTTATGGTTGATTCTATAAATGGGTGGCAACTACAACATTTTATTACCATCCAAATGTAGCTGATGATATGTTTCTACCAGCCCCATGTAGCCAGTGCAAAAGTCTAATGGGGAATAGAGGCTGATAGAGACTGTTGTGGCCTGAATGAAGTCACGCTGCTTCCGAGTGCTGCTGTGCTGCATGTGTTGGAATTCCAATATTAACAGGAGTCAAAGGCAGCTAAATGGTGCCACAATTGATATCACTGATGCATTTTTCTCAGTCACTCAGGCAACAGAGTGCAGGCCACAGTTTGCTTTTGCTTGTAGGAGTATTCAGTATACCTGGAATTGAGTATCCCATGGGTGGAAACACAGCCCAACCATCTGCCATGGACTCATCCAGACTGCACAGGAAAAGGGTGGAGCTTCAGAACACCTGCAATACATCAATGATATCATTGTGTGGGGCAATACTGCAGAAGAAATTTTTCAGCAAGAAAAAAAAAAAATAATCCAAATTCATCTGAAAGCTGGTCTTGCCACAAAACAAAGTAAGCTAAAGGGACCTGCACAGGTGTGGCAGGACTGTCCTCCCTACCACAGAAGAGCTTATCTGTTCTATCAGCAGTTGTGACAGCTCTGGTCATTCTCCCCCTCACAGGATTTGGTGAGATAACCAGGCTGGACATTTGTCCAGTAGGGAATTATCTCTGGTGCCAGAGGTGGAATTACCAGCTGACAATAAATATCTGGCCTTGTGAACAAGATGCAGGGAGATAAGCTGGAATTTCTAGCATTTCAAGACTGACAAGACTGACAGACACTTCACTTTACAAACTATAAAAGTCACACAAAACTTTCACAAAATCAGAAGTCGCCTACACACACCCTGGAAATGTGTAGGTTTTTCCCCAAAGTTTGGATGCAAACTTTGTGGTTAATTCCCTGGAAATTGAGTGAAGGGATTCTATGTGTATTCTGTATGTATTCTCCATCATCAATTTGGTGGTAACCTTTTTGTCATGCACTGTATTTTTTATCTACATATAGTTATTTTTGTTTTATCCAGCTTAGTAAGTATTCTGTTTAGAATCTTATATCTTGTTAATCTTGGGTCTGTTCAATAAATAATTCATTTTAAAGTAGACCTAATCAGCCATTCTTAAGAACTTGAAAGCAAGAGCAATCTGGGGTGCAGGCTGCATCAAATAGATCTAGTTCTTGCGAGAGAAAATGGCAGGATGGGTGCAATCGTGTGCCTATGGAGGTGGTTAACAAAATAGCTGCTATGTCCCCACTGGCTAAGAGGAAGGAAAAAAAAGCTTTCCTAGGCCCAGCGGGGTTTGGGAGAATGCACATTCCAGGTTATAGTCAGCTTGTTGCCCCCTTTATCAAGTGACCCAGAAGAAGAAGAAATATTTTGAGTGGGGCCTTGAACGAGGAGGACTTTGAGCAGATCAAACAGGAAACAGCTCTTGGGCCCATATTGACAGACTAGCCATGTGGAATATCCTCTACACTGCAGCAGGGGAGCAGGGTGTCACCTGGAGCTTCTGGCAAAGTGTACTACTTCGAAAGCTATTGATTTTTTGAGGTTGGGATTGAAGGCACTTGAGATGGTATTTTATGTTTGGACTGAGGTGTTTATTATTTTTATTTATGTTACAGTCTCACTACTGTGAGTTTGGCAGCTTTTTCATTAGTAAGGCACAAAATGGCTAACTCTTGCTTTAAGGTCTTTTAAAACAACACTATTTAATTAAGGAAGGACACTTAGATTATTTTCTTTTTTAACTTAATAACTGATCTCCTGAAGTCCGCAATGCAGACTTTTTTGTCTAATCACAAAATATCACTTAAACCTATGAAGAAGGAAGAAGGTAAAATACAACCTACCTCCACCCTAAAACCTCCATCTTGCTTCATATTTATTTCTTAAAATCCTAAACTCTAAGTTTTCTATTTTGTGATATTACAGATTTTTAACTAACTACACACTCATAAGTTTAATGCTAATTATTAGTTTTAAAAGTTTGTTCTACGACTATGTCAAATGCACTGTCCTCTTGTGGGTCTGTGCCTTGAAGAAGAGCAAGTTTAAAATTTTTAATATTTAGGATTCTAACAGAAAGCGCACCAGCTGGGAGATCCCAAGTCAGAACTACAATTTAATAGGAAAATTAAAGTAAATGCAATAGTACAAAACACTGACACAGTCAAAATACAACCTGAGAACGCTGTTGATCAGGGTTGGTAGCAGTCCAGTTCAACGGTGTCTGCAATCGTCTTGGGATGACCAATGTGGTTCTGTTGAAGCAGAGATCCTGTAGAAGGGTGTGATCTGCCTCTGAAGGTCCAGCGATGGTACAGATGGGCCTGGTCTTCCTCTGGGAATCCCGTGGATAAGGCTGCTTTTGGTGTTCCAAACCTCAGGAGATATCCAGGTAGGAATGCTTAGCTCCTCCCCTGGGTGGATCATCTCACAATGGGATGAAGAAATTTACGAGTCATACAATGAGATTTGATGGCCCATTAACAGCAGGTATCTCCCTCAGAGGCAGTTATGAGGGATGGGTCATGGAAGAGATAAAGAACACTGCCCCACCTGGTTTTAACAGATGGTGATAGAATACATGCTTTTGGTTACATTTTACATTGTAAGCTAAGACACAGAGCCCCTCAGGGGAAACCCGAGGTCACTCCAAGAAGCTGGAGTTATCAAGGATCAGAAGCCCATTGTACTCCAAGTCCTGGATCTGGAGGGGTGAAGGAAGCCCATGAAATGGCACAATAATATTTATGTGTGAAAGGATGCAGGATAAAGGTTAATGAAAATCTGTGTCAGGTAAGGAGATGGTTTAGGGACGTATTTAAAATTGTGTGTATGGGTAAGAATGGATTCCAGTAATGACAAAAAAATAGAATGGAATACTTGGAAGATATATAAATTATGTGGGATTTCAGCATGACTCAAATGATATGAAATAAGGGATGGAGACTGTATTTGGTCTGACTGAGGTATAGTTCATTTCTTTTAACAACCCTCTCAGTGCTATGCTTTGCATTGGTAGCTGGAGGGGTGTTGGTAGCACATGAGTGTTTTGGCTACTGCTGAGCAGTGCTGGCACAGCAGCTGTGCTGTCTCTCTAACATTCCTTTCCTGCTCCCCTGTGAAGGGTTTGGGAGTGGGCAAGATTCTTGGAGGGAATACAAGCAGGCCTGCTGATGCAAAATATCCAAAGGGATATTCCATACCATATGAAATCACCTCAGATATAAAAGCTAAGGCAGGGAGGAGGAATGGGGGGCATTTGCTATTTAATCATGTCTGCCTTCTAGAGCAACTAATCCACGTGTTGAAGCCCTGCTTCCTGGAAAGTGGCTGAGCATTGGGAATCACCAATGGGAAGTAGAGGTCAATTTTTGTTTCCCTTTGCTTATGCACTCACAGACCCTAAACTGCCTTATCTCAACCTAATAGTTGTTTTCCATCTTATTTTTCTCTCCCCTGCCCTACTGGAGAGTGATAGAGCAGCTTGGTGAGCACCTGGCATCCAGTCAAGGTCAACCCATTACAGCTTTGTTAAACTGCAGAGATAAAATCCCCAGGGCTTGTGTTAGCACTTTCACTCTGTCATTGTTAATTTTGTCAGGAGCCATGGTGGATGCAAAGTGACGATATTAACCAGCCATAAAAAGCAAAGCAGAGAGTTTGTGCCAATTCCACACCCCAGACCATCCACAGTTCCTGGTTGATATCAGTTTTTTCCCCCAGTTTCATCTCAAGTGAGAGTTCTCAGTGACAGCTCTGCTCACTGGGATGACATCTGTCAGAGGGACAGAAAAAATAGATTAGAATGACTACATTTTTTTTTTTTAATTCCTAGGAAATCTGAGCAACCACTGACAGAAAAGTCACACAGATGTCTTAAAGCAAAAATCTTAAAATTGCAGCCCAAATCCCCACATACCTTTCAAAACCACATCATGCCAGTATTACAGAATCCTAAAGGGAGTAAGAAAGGAACCTCATATGACATATATCTACATATCTCATATGACATATATGACATATATTTACATATATCTCATATCTATAGCTACACATATGTATTTGGTAACAATAACTTATTATTCAGACATTTTATTTTTAAGTCATTAGTTGTCTTAAAGGTGCTTTACAACAAAATTATTCAGAGGAAACATTCTTATCTCACTGGATTACATATTTTCCATCCTTTCTGTCATCAGGAATGTTTATGATTATGATTTTTCTGGCAGAATCAAGCAATCTTGATAGATTTTATTTTTAGAATAGGCAGTGTTTCTATAAAGTTAATGGGGTTATAGTACTATATTCAAGTGAGGTGTGTGTGATTAAAATTTAACTTGTCCAACTGAAGGCAGTAGGAGTATGAAATACAGAGCTTTCACCAAAGGAGTGGATGGCAATGGCATGCCTCAAACATTCCATGTGAAACTCTGATTTCCTGAAATGCTATCTGTAAGGAGAGCTAGCCACATGCACAGGTGGCCACACCTGAAGTATTTTATGCTCCAAAATCAGTGACTTTATGTATTAGCCAAGTTCCCACTCCATTCTACTGAGCTGCTGATGTACCTTGGTATATTCTGTGGATCCTCACTTGAAGTATTCTCTTTCCTTTGCTGTAAAATAGGAAAATAGTGTCAAAATTTTTGATTACCATAACATTCAAAAATAGAATCTAATTATTCTCTTCCATTTTCAGTGTTGCCTAGAGTATTTTTTTTTGGGGGGAACCAATTAAAACTCACTAGAAAATAATGAATGTGCTCCAAGAATCTTTGCTTTTGCTGCAAAAACTATTTATTCTGTGTCATTTAAAGTACAGACAACAAATAATGCACATTATGTCCCATAGCATTTTCTTTTCTTTTTCTTGGTTTCTAAGGCTTTTGCAATCACACTGACCAGTCTCAAAAAAGTTGGGAACCAACAGGTCAATTTTAGCCACATTAGACTATGGTAGATGTCTCACAGGTAAAATGCTTCTGGAGATTTTGTGAAGATCTGTAAAATGGTAGGCAAAAGTGAACTGAATTAATTACCTCACTGAGAAAAAAAAAAAAAGCCTCACATGAACTCAGTAATTTTTTGTAGTTTTTGGCCTGGCCATTCTGTGCCTAAGAGCTACAGACACAACCAACAGCAGACAGCACAGATACAGCACCAAGACAGATCTGACTGTGCTTCTTTCTTCCCAGATGGCAGTGAGTGAATGGGGTGGGGAGGAAGGGGCTACTAAAATATCATGGAATGAAATCCTGATGAAAATAAGAGAAGAATTTGAATTATCACAGTGCAGGTACAGATACAGGTGTGCAAAATTAAGATTTACTGGTTCCACTGTTCACAGAAAAAAAAAGTTTTTCATGTTGATACCTTTTGCATAAAGATATGCCACATCCATAAAAATAACCAAAGACATTTCTAAATGGCCTGTGGGTGACAGCCTCCACTGACTAAAAAAGTACCTAATTTCCTATCACAGTGGGCCAGATTCTCAGCCTGTGTGAACTGGCAGGATTAATATGAAATTAATTGAGTTGTACTGACCTAATGCCAATTTGCCCATTGGTTTAGGATGTTAAAAATACTTCCTAGGAAATATATAAAATTAAAAAAAAAAATTGGCAGGAATAAGTCTTAGGAAAATGGACATAAAATTATGTTAAGGAAGTAGAATATTGACTATTTTAAGAGTATCAAGACTAAGTAGGATATTTACTCCTTTGTATCCCAAAAAATTTCTCAGGTTTCTTTACCCTCTGTCAGGAAATAGGGTCTGTTTGGAGAGAAGACCTGGGCTGAGGTAAAAGCTGGAAGCGTGGACACGAGGAGGAGGCTGGGGCTGTGCAGAGGGGTCGGTGATACCAAGACACACGGAGTGGCACTGGGAGAGCAGAGTGTGGGAATGTAGGAAATGCTGGCTAACTTGAAATACTGGGGTTAAGGGTAGCTAATGAATGTCTTGGGTCAACTCGCTTAATTTAATATATTTTTAAAAATAAATTTTAAAAAATTTAATATATTTTAAAAAAATATCCAATTGCAGATAAATTCAAAAGATTTTTCATCTGTGTTATAATGTTTAACCCACTCTGTCTTTTTAGATAAATTTTGAAATAATGCTACATGGAGCAAAAGCTTCAGGAGATTTTGTTTTGAAAATAACAGTGTAGATGTAATTTTTTTTTCTATTTTTTTGCAGTCATTATTATTTGGCACATATGTATCAGATTTACATTTTCCTGCAAAGTTCCAATGTGGGCAATAGATAAATAAGTCACAAGCTCTATTTAAGAAATGCCAGGAGGTGGCGTGTGCCTACTTAATTTCTTCCCTCAGATTCAAGCACAGAGTTTTGCACTGCACATACCTGATCATACAGATATACATTTTCTTCCACTAGGACTTCTGCCACATTTTAGGTACATAGCAATTAGTGTTTATCAGATGAGAAACTTCTCTAATTTGTTTGCTTATCGCTGTTTAGTGTATGCCCCAGTGGAGTATTTGTTACGTATTCAGATTTTGCTTTTGTAACTTAATTTCCTGGTGGACTTTTGCCTTTGTGCTCACTAATACTTATTTCTTCACTAAATGTACATGCTAATTTGCTTTTACAGCCCCTTTTTGAGATTAATAGATAAGACACTTTTACCTCATTTTAATTGAAGCACATGAAGATTAAGTTTTGGGACATAGAGTTTGCAATGCAGAAATCTTGGGTTTTTCTTTCTGGAATTTTGTCTAGAAGGGCAATTGTGGCTGCTATAGCAAGTGGCCCCTTGCAGAAAAGCAATTACTGTCAATACCTATGCACTGATTTCCTGTGCCTCCAGAGGCTTCCTCTCTAGTCCTGTCTCCTAGATCATCCTGTTTTTTAATCCCTCTGCACCACCAGGACTGGACAGGAGTGGGTGTTGTTGCTTCTTTCCTTGAAAAATTTTCAAAAATGGAAGTAGTTACCGAGGACAAGATAGGGTTTTTGTGTTATGGGAGAGGTGGGGAGACCCTATAGTTCAGGGCAACTAAGGAAGAGGAGAGTAGGTAGAGGCAGAGTCCCTGTGGCCTGCTGTATCTCAAAGCCTTCCAGAGTCACACTGGCATCACTCAGCATTCCTTGCCAAAGCCCACCAAAAAAACACCCCAAACCCCCCAAATAGTAGGGGAATTCCTCTGCATTCCTCACAGCCTCTTGATCTTCTCAGCCCTTTCATGAATTTCTCATGGTTTTCTTCAGGCACCCTCTCCTCTCCTCTCCTCTCCTCTCCTCTCCTCTCCTCTCCTCTCCTCTCCTCTCCTCTCCT